TCGATCCTCGGCTCAGTTGGCGTTTCTGTGTGGAGTTTGCATGTTCTTCCTGCGTTTGCGTGGGTTTCCTCCGGGTGCTCCGGTTTCCCCCACAGTCCAAAGACATGCGGTACAGGGGAATTGGGTAGGCTAAATTGTCCGTAGTGTATGAGTGTGTGTGTATGTGTGGATGTTTCCCAGAGATGGGTTGCGGCTGGAAGGGCATCCGCTGCATAAAAACTTGATGGATAAGTTGGCGGTTCATTCCGCTGTGGCGACTCCAGATTAATAAAGGGACTAAGCCGACAAGAAAATGAATGAATGAATAAATAATCAAATTATATTTATTTCAGTTTGCAATTAATAGTTTTACATGACGCAGAGCATGAGATATATTTGAATGTCTCAATGTCGTCTCACCTGCACCCTCACAATCATTACATTACATTATATGAAAGGGGGTGAGGAGGGGTGGTGAGAGGGGTTCCAGCAATACGTGTTTTAGGTGCATTCAGGTAGGGGAAACCCTAACGCATTCTCTGAGTGAGGTACATGTCAGATGCCCCGTTGAGTGATATCTGAAAGAGACAAAGAGTAAGTTCATGCATACAAATAAGAGTTACAATCTTCCATAGGCTTAATCCCCACCATTATAGATCTGTTTTAGATCTTGTCTAAAAGATTGTCTGAAATATTTCCATTTACTCTAAATTACTATAACATTTTAAATGTGTAACACATCTATTGACACATCCACTGGGTTTAAGTTGCTTCGACTTAAAAATGAAAATGACAAAAATAGCTTAGATGTAGCTAAGCTTTTGCGAAGTAGCTTTTAGTGTAGTTAAGCTACATTCTAATTAGAGTAGCTAATAGATTAAATCACTACATTTGTCATGTAGCTTGCTCAACGCTGACTGCATGTGATGCTAGATTCATTTCACATTCAACAGGCGCCGGGTGAGCAACAAGTTTAAGAGATCTTGAGGCATTGAAAAGGCTCGCTTCTCTGCTTCTGTATGCTGATGAAGAGACGTGGGGATTGAAGCTCTGCCTGCGGGTGGGTGTGCGAGTGGAGGTAGAGAGGCTGTGTCCTGCTGAGGGCTCAGGATGTTATTGCTCTCGTCTCTAAGGAAGTCAAACTAGTGGGATCTTGTGAGGAGGTGGAAGACCGACCCCCGTAACCTCGCTATCATCTCGGCATCGGATCTGCAGCCCACCATCGGTTTGAGCAACTCGTGCCACCCCCAAACACAGTTCCATTCCATTCAGAGCCAACATTCATGTGTGGAAATACTTATGTAATGTTATTGGCCTCATAAGATTGCGCAAGTCACGTGATGTTCAGGGAGGGGCTGAGCAGAGGAGATGCGAACCTTGAGGTCTCGGTGTGCCCTGACCCCTCTTCATAGCCTCTGGGTAATTGCGAGGAAAATGGATGCTTTGTTGAAGTTGTGAAACACAAGTGGGCGTTTTTATGGAGTTACTCCAACAAGTGCTCTGATGCTCATCTGGCAATAATTGCCAATAATTGTGCGCATTAGTGCTGCTCTGATGGATTTTGTGAGGGAAATATTTCTGCCCTTTTAAAAGGCCTCAGGGACAATAACCACAAGGTAGTGCAGGCACCGCTGTACAATTAATACAATCAATAGAAGCATTAGGCGGACTTCAAATGAACGCAGCGCAACACAATGCCATTCCACTGGAGGGAGACTCATTGGGCTTTGATTCAAATCATCGTCATTCATGACTAGTTGACCACATCGTTTTTACATACAAAAGTCAAACACTTCAGAATAGCGCCATAAAAACCACCTGGTTGAATCACAGTATTCCAATTGTCACTTTTAAAAGGAGGGGTTTTGTGCCAACGCTTTATTAGAGAGTGCTTGCTGTTGAAGTATGCTAATGCTTTAGCGCAAAGCCATTAATTGTCCTCGCAAAAGTTTTAATTAGATTCGCTTTGGTCTTTTGTACGAGAGCTTGACACATTGTGAGTAACAAAGAAAAGGGGTAATTCGTTAAAATACAAGTATCACTGATTCACCGTATGGGTAATTGATGAGATAAAATGCATTTTATTCTTGGCGTGAGTCAGCCCTTTATGTGAGAATGTGATGCATGACGTTGTTTAGTGTTATAAAAAGCATTAATAGAGAAAAACAAGATTTACTCAGCGGATGTGTAAATGCCTATAAAATTAAACTAAATTCAGCGTGAACTGTGGATAATACATGGCGATTATATGACCTCCTATTGTAGAAAAATACATCCGGATGTTTCCAATGGCCCGTTTCCACTGAGTGGTTCAGTACGGTATGGTACGGGTCAGTACGGGTCACCTTTATCAGGCCTGCGTTTCCACTGCCAAAAGGGTACCAATGGTAAAGCTTCAGTCGACATCATTCTCGCTCAAGGAAATGTCAATGTAAAGCTGTACGGGTCGTTCATACATCATATGAGTAGTACTTCTCACAAAACAGATGTAAATACTTGTGTTTAAATGTTTATTTCTAACCTTTCTATAAACATGATTATATCTGCAGATCAATGTCTGCAATTATATAAAATAAATAAATAAATCCAACATATATGAACACATAAAGACCCTTAAAGTGTTTGATATGTTACCAATTACAGAAAAACTACACACAACATGCATTTAGTCCTTATTTGGGTTCAAAAACAACACGTAACATATAGCCCAGTCAGTGCAAACCGCTCATCTGCATCTTTAATCTTCACCAGCACATGCAAACTCTGTTAGAGAGTAATTCTGTCATTCATAATAGTCCAAAAGGTGATTATAATAGTTAAACATGGCAGTTTGTTCATGTTTAGGTTGCTGAAAGAATCCTTTGCTCCTTTGTTTTTTCGGCTTTTCCTTTGTTTTGTCATGCGTCACTCTCTTGTTTGTCTGTTTCTGAAAGGATTGGATGTCAGAAGCACTTCAATAATCATGCGCAGGATATTATCATCAGCTCAAGAAATTTGTTATTGCGAATATAGATATAGACATGAGCTCCCTCTCTCTCTTTAGCTTGAAGGTATAGGGCTAAAGGGAAGGGGTAAATATCTCTTTGGACAGATTTTTCAGGACCACACATGGTGGTTTCAATTGTGGTCCAGAAAAATCATTGTTTTATATACCTTCGTTTTATATACCTTCCCTATACCTTCAAGCTAAAGAGAATTGGGATACCCCTACCTCTTCACAGGAAGACGCAAAACAAGGGGTAGGGATAAAGGGAAGGGCTAGAACTGTGATTGGGCCTTAGTCGATATCTGACTTTTGTATATTGTAGTGGTACATTTATATCATATTAATCTGGTAGTATTTGTTGACCAGCCACAACGGATTGATACACCCGGAAGTAAGGAGATTCACAAATTTGTATTTTTTTTTTGTCATTACTAAGAATTTTTGGAACAAACAAGCATATGTTTTAATATATTCATAAATGTGTTCATGTTTTACCGTCATGCTTTAAAAAAAAAAAGCTAAAATAATAACCTGTAAATTTCGCGATCTGTAATCTATATTAATAACTCCCACAACATTTTGACACTCGAATACCCTGTCAGTAATGTCTAGTGCAGGGGTGTCCAAAGTCGGTCCTTGAGGGCCGGTGTTCTGCTGACTTTAGCTCCAACTTGCTTCAAGACACCTGCCTGAAAGTTTCTAGTATACCAAGTAAGAGCTCTATTAGTTGGTTCTTATGTTTTTGAATAGGGTTGGAGCTTAAGTCTCCAGGACACCGGCCCTTCAGAACTGAGTGTGGACACCCCTGGTCTAGTGGCTGGGAATGTTTTTTTTTTTTTTTCTTACAGTGTCTGCTATAATGTTAATTTTGTTTTTATTTGTTTACATAGATGAGTTTAAATGTGTAAATTTGTGTAAATGCACAGTATAGTTACGATCTTATTGCCACACTATCATAATAATAACATAATATATGCCTTCAGTGATTTCCTGAAGATAAATACCAAAAAAATAACACAACTAGAATAACTAAAGCAGTCGCAATCGTCTAATCTCATATAAAGCTGGAGATCGCGATGACATATGTTGACGTGTGCAAGTGCTGTAGTGCTGTCCCAATTCTGAAGGGTAAATTATAAAGCCCTTCCACTTCACCCTCGGTTTTAAGGGCCAAGGGGAAGGGGTAGGGGTACAAAAATAGAATTGGCCTTAATCACTAACCTGTTTTTTAATGATTTGATCTACTGTAGTTTAACTGGGGTAAATTTACGCTGAGTTTTTCTCCCCGAAGGACTTTGCAAGGATATTGCATGGCTATCAGCCAATCAGATTCAAGAACCAAACAGAACTGTTGTATTTAAACAGTATGCATGGGCATTGCTGTGTAATGTAAAAAAAAATAAGAAAAATTAATATGGTTTACAGTTCTGTAGATGATGATGATGATGACAATGATAAAAAGGTTCAAAAACAGTTTAAATCTTAATTTTCGCTATTAACTAGTGGCTTATAACCTACTTATAATTGAGATATTGGCTATTTTTTAGTATTTATGAAGTACATGTTGATGAATCATCTTATTCTTTGTCCCTAATCCTACCTAATACCTAAACCTAACAATATCTATTAATAAGCAGCAAATTCTGACATTATTGAACAAAAAGTCATAGTTAAGATAGTAATAGCAAGAATTGTACTTTAAAATAAAGTGTGACCAATAATTTTGAGTGTAAACTGTCCCTTTGTTTAAATGATTGTGTAATGCGTCATTCAATGAGTCACTGTGTATAAACATAACTGTACAATGTTATAAAAGGAATTATTTGTCAGAAATGAATATCAGAGTGATAACCAACTAATTCTGGAGTGAATAGTCACGCTCTCTTTTGTATTAATGTGTGTAATCCATGACACATGGTTTATAAGCATGGCTGTGTAATGTTAAAAAATAAACAACTTATAAAAAAAGAAGGAGCAGCGTTTACTTACACTATGTATGACCAATAATAAAAGAGAAAACATCTGTGTTTTTCAGACAAGATAGCTCTCGAAGGAATGGTTGTGCAGCGAGCTGAATGCAGACCTGCAGTCAGCGAGAGCTACATGAAATTAAAAAAGTAAGTCAATGTTTGATTGCAAAACAATGCGTCTGATTAGACCATCTGCAAGTGTCCTTTTTTTCCCAGGCTGCAGATCGAAGAATCCACCAAACCTCTTCGTTTTTCCCAGAGGCTTGAGAAAGCCATCACAACCAATTACAAACCTGTGTCCAACCACAGTCATAATGTAAGTACACTGTTAAAAACTTCCTGCAGAATTTACAGTAACTTACTGGCAGCAGTTTGCCAAACTACTGTATTTACATTCACAGCACCATTGATCTTGCTGAATATGCTTTATATTGCTGGTATATGTATATCTGTACTGTAAAATATACACATATTTTCACAATGCAACTTTAAAATACAGTAACATACTATGTAACTGTCCTACAGTAAAGTGCATTTCATATTACAGTTACAGACTGTGTAATTTACGTGTGACATTAAGTGTGATATTATAACATGGCCGAATGATCATTATGGTTTGCTTTTGCTTCTATTCAGTTGGAATATGAAAAGAGAAAGAAAGAGGAAGGCAAGCGTGCACGAGCTGACAAGCAGAAGGTTCTGGAAATGCTCTTCTCTGCCTTCGAGAAGCACCAGTTCTACAACATCAGAGACCTGGTGGACATCACTAAGCAACCGGTGGTGAGTTGTTCAGCTCAAGGCGATTAAACTTACAAACACTGCGCTGGATGAACCCAGAGCTTGTGCTTCCTCTTGTGGAAAAGAGTAGGCCTACACTTGAGCTACTTTTAAAATGGTTATGTGCTTAAAAGGACAGTTCACCCTCCCAAAAAGAGTGAATTTACTCACCCTCCAGTGGTTGCAAACCTGTATGAGTTTCTTTGTTTTGTTGAACAAAAAAATATTTTGTGTTCAACAGAATATAGAAACTTGTAAATTTTTGGAACCACTTGAAGGTGATTAAATTGTAAGTAAACCGTCTTTTTTAAATTTGTATTCTTCAAAATACAAATTGAGATATTTTAGTTGAAATGCGAGAGCTCACTCATCCTCCATTGGTCCTGACTCCAGAAAGGTACCTAATGACCCATGCTTACTGAGTGGTACGGTACGGTATGGTTCGGTGCGCTTTAATGGCTGTTTTCACTGTCTAAAGGTACCAAAAAGCAAACCATACCATACCACTTTTTGGGTACCCTTTCAAAAGGGTACCCAGCCCGACAAAAGAGTAAAAAAAGGCGTGGCAAAATGTGCAGCTGAACAATATTTGTTTACAGAGATACATCACTAGCTCATGCACAAGCCAAGAGAATGAAAACAAAGGAATTGCCATTTTTAAATACAAACCCAATACATTGCATCGTAGTAATAGATACATATAATAATGAGCTTGTTGATCCAAGCTTAAACCCATCTTGACGTCGTTTTGATGAACAGCCACAAAGCCAAGAAAAAAAGCAAAATATACCCTGTCATTGTTTAAAAGGCAGTCTAAAGTGCAAGCGGTTTCACTTTTTTTGAGAGAGCTCGCATCCGCGTCTATATTTGAAATAACAAACTTCTTGAGCTCATATTAATAACATGCTCATGATTATTGATGTGCTTCTGACATCAGATCCTTTCAGAAAAAGTAGAAGTAGAAAAGAGAAGCCGAAAAAAAGGAGCAAAAGATTCTTTCAGCAACCTAAAACATGAACAAACTGCCATGTTTAACTATTATCATTACCTTTTGGACTTTTATGAACTCGGAATGACAGAATCACTTTCTAACAGAGGCTACATATGCTGGTGAAGATTAAAGATGAGAGGTTTTTCTATAATTAGTAACATCAAAGACTGTAAGGGTCTGTATGTGTTCATATATGTTGGATTTATTTATTTATTTTATATAATTGCAGACACTGATCTGCAGTTATAATCATGTTCATAGAAAGGTTTGTAATAAACATTTATACACATATATTTATGCGTATAAAGCATCTGTTTTGTGAGAAGTGCTTCTCATATGATATGTGAATGACCTGTACAGCTTTATATTGACATTTCCTCAAGCGAGAATAAAGAGATTGAAACTTTGTCCGACACCACGTTCACCATTGGTACCCTTTTGGCAGTGAAAATGCAAGTCTGATAAATGTGACCCATACTGTACGGTACTGTACCATTCAGTGGAATTGGGCCATTAGTGCTGACTCATAACAGCCCAAATGCCTTCATTTCACAGTGCTTGTAAATGTGTGCAATATACTGTACTGACACTGGGGGAAGAATTTGATGAATAAAGTTGTGCAAATATTCTCATAGCTTCATAATATTCAGGCTGAACCACTGAATATGATGGATTGACAATGTTTTTTGGTTACTTTCTTGACTTTGAACTAGTCTACGGATGTCGAGGGAGACCAACAAGCACACAACGTCATAAGATGTTAATATTAGGTTAGATTTAGGTCGTGATGTCACTTGACCAAAATTCAATGTCTAGTCAGCATCTAGGACAATGATATTTTGATGTCCAATAACAACGTCAAATGACCTTGATATATGGTTAATTTTAGGTTTTGTTGGAAAGTGACCAAAATCCAACATCGAGCCAACATCTTAAACCAACGTCATACTGACATCAAATACTGACATTTATTCACCATGTATGGTAACCAAAATCCAATGTCTGATAGATGTTTTAGTGGTAATGTACACATCAAGCTGTAACATCATTAGATGTTGATATTTGGTTGTTTGTAGGTTGCATTGGAAAGTGACCAAAATCCAACATCTGTATGACAGTGGACACTGACAATGGCTTAAGACATCAACCTGATTTTCATTGATCACATTTTGTGATCCGAAGATGAACAAAGGTTTTAGGTTTTAGTAAATTATAACAGAATTTAAGGTGACGCAGTAGGTAGTGCTGTCACCTTACAGCAAGAAGGTAGCTGATTTGAGCCTCGGCTGGGTCAGTTGGCGTTTCTTTATGTTCTGCCTGTGTTCGTGTGGGTTTCCTCCGGGATGTTCCGGTTTCCCCCACAGTCCACCTACCTGTGGTACAGGTTAACTGGGTAGACTAAATTGTCCGCAGTGTATGAGTGTAAATGAGTGCGTATGGATGTTTCCCAGAGATGGGTTGCAGCTGGAAGGGCATCTCCTGTGTAAAACATGTGCTGGAAGGTGGCGGTTCATTCCGCTATTGTGACCCCAGATTAATAAAGGGACTAAGTTGAAAAGACAATGAACAAATGAATGAATAACAGAATTTACTTTTTCCTTTAATTTCCTCTATTTGAGTGTCTTTCAATAATACGTTTTGTTTTATATTCTTTGAAAATTATGCTTTAGGTCAGGGTTATTCAATTACAAATTCAGTTGGGCCAGATTGTCAAACCAAGAAGGTTAGCTGGGCCAGTCATTTTAGCGGCTTTGTAATGACAAATTTTTAAACCAACACAAATTTCTTGAAAAACATAAGGTTTTATTTGTTGTTTCCTTTTTAATTTTAGTCAGTTTGTAGAGCAAAAGGTGCATACAAAAAATAGCTGAATTAACAGAACCTGAGGTAGCCCCTATTTTTTCCACTTACAAAATAAAAAAAACTGACCCAGGCTACATATCTGACCTATCAGATCACAAAGTGCCAAAAACAAAATAGTGCACAGTAGTTGGCTATTAGAATTAACATTGTTTTCTTTTGAAACTAAATAAACAACTTGCACAGATTTGACCCAGGAACATCTCAAAGTGCATAAAATAAAAAAGTGCACAGTATTCAACTATAACAAGACACTCTGTTACGCATTCCACATTATATTGATGTATTGTAGGCTAGTTACCCTGCTGATTTAGTGAGAGAAGGGACATTTATTTTGTTTTGAACGAGAGCAGTGACTTTAGACTCGTAAGTTGTCAGTGCAATTCGAAGGCACTGGTGGAGTGTATGGTCATTCAGGGAGCAATGAGAGTCGCTTTTTATAGAGTTTGTGTGCGAAAAACATGTATAAGTTGATCTAAACATACTGAGCATGACGATCGCTACTTTCCTAATGTTAGGGAACTGATGTGCATTGACACCAGTCCAAAACATTGCAGGCCAGTTCGTGGAAAGCTCCTGTGCCATGGTTACAGATGACTGCATGACAACAAGTACGAGTGTGAATTTCTTCTCGTCAATGGAAGGGACCAGTTTCTTAGCTCTGGCGTATAAGTCCCCTTCTATTGAAACAGTGACGGTCTCTGACAAAAACGGCCAACTCTGTGAGCAGATCAAGTTCATCCAGTCAACCAGCAAAGTTATTTTTAACATCGCAATGAAATCTGTCATCACATCCATGAAATAAACAAGTATTTGTCAGTCCAGGCAGGGTTAAGCTTACGGTTTTAATTGGCGATTTTACGTTTCAGTGTTGAGAAAAAGACATAATAATAGTAAGTAACCTAAGCTACTTCCGGCACGCTCTGCATTGCAGGCTATGTAATTGCGTAGGAATGCGCATTTTTGGCATATATATATATATGTATATATATATTAATTTACTATCTGTGGGTGGAACCACGGGCTGGACCACTCAGGTTGAATCTGGGCCGTATGGGGCCTGCGTTCCGCTAATTGAATAGCCCTGCTTCATGTGTATTAGTCAAGACCTCAAAATAAATGTATTTCTTTAAAGCACAACAAAACTGCACAGAATCTTCACACTTTACAGATATCAAAGCATGTACTTAAACACATTCATAGAAAAGTACTTGTAGTATAGTTCGTTGTTGTGTGGGAAGAAGAAGACAGGGTCGGCGATATCAGGTAAGCAATATATTTTATTTTGTTTTTTCCCCAGTACTAGCAAACTGTGTGTGTGTGTGTGCTCTCTCCTCTCTCGACTGCTCCTCCCGTTCTCCTTAAGAAGGGAGTCTCTCCGGCCCAATCACTAGAAAGACAGGTGTTATTTATCATTTCTGATTGACCCGCTGATTAGCCGCCGGGCTCCTAGCATGCTCTCCCCCCTGATTGGGTGTTCGATCACGCTTACCTCTCCACATACCCCCACCGCCCGCCTCAGGCCGGGGAGCCGTCCGGCCTGCAGCCCTCCCCCCCCCCTCACTCTTGCTGAGTTTGCGGCTAATGTACAGCACCGGCCGTTCCACTCCCGCCACCTCCTGCGAGAGAACCACCCCCAGTCCCCGATCGGATGCGTCCGTCTGTAAAACAAAGGGGAGAGCAAAGTCAGGAGCGTGTAATAGCGGCCCCCCGCAAAGTATAGATTTTACCTTTGAGAAGGCCTGTTGGCACTGCTCCGACCATTGGACGGTATCCGGTCCCTCCTTTTTAGTGAGATCAGTCAATGAGCTGACAAGGGCCGAATAATTAGGGACAAAACGCCTATAATATCCTGCCAGCCCCAAAAACTGTCTCACCTCCTTTTTGGTCTTAGGTCTCGGACAGGTTGCAATGGCTGCAGTCTTATCAATTTGGGGCTGCACCTGCCCGTGACCTAAGTGGAAGCCCAGATACCTTACCTCCACTCGCCCAATTGCGCACTTCCGTGGGTTGGCCGTGAGCCCGGCCCGTTGCAGCGCCGACAATACCGCCCTCAAATGTTGCATATGCCGCTGCCAGTCATTACTGTAAATGATGATATCATCTAGATAAGCAGCGGCATATGCTGTGTGAGGGCCGAGTATTTTGTCCA